TTTAACACAAGTATCTGTACTTTTACTCAAGTACGGAAAGTGAGTACTTTTGCCATCTCTGGGTATGAATCATTTCTTCTTAGCTTTATTTCAAGTAAATAAAAAAAGAAAATATTATATACATAAAAAGGCACAGTTCAAAAAAAGCTACATTTTTACCAATATTTATAAATACAACTTCCTGTGGTTACTAACAGTAAAAAAACCAGACTTTCTTTAATAAAAGTATTAAAAATGAAATGAAAACATCAGAAACATTCATCAGTTTTGTTTTTTGTTTCAGGAATGTTTTTAACACCAAATAACCATCAAAGTAGAAACGACTAACTACAGCGGCGCGGTCATAATTCATTCTTACTGGATTTCTGTTTGTGACTTTCGCGCCAACATGAACATGCGGCTGTATGATCGTCCGGCTGAGGCACCAGCTCCATGTCTGCCTGCAGCGTCGGCTTCCCTTTCTGCCGCTCGGCGTACGTCTGCAGCACCCTGTAGTAGTAACAGTAGAGCCGGCTGGGCTGCAGCAGTTCTCTGGCCGCCGCCTGTCCCGCCCGCGCCATCTCCGCCGCTTCAGCATCGTTCTCTTTGGCCCATTTGATTTTGTCTAAAAGGTCCGACAGGTTTCTCTTCACAGAAACGTAGTGAGTGCCTGCTCGGAGGTGTCTGTAGAAGTGTTCGTAGTACTGAGAGTCCTGTTTCAGAACCAGGCTGTTCCCCAGCATCAGGTAAGGAAACCGATACGCTGCGACCGTTCCATCCACGTTTACCTGGTACTTGTACTGGAAGAGGAGATACAAACTTTTACTCTATGCACATTTTTTCCCTTAAAAAACTAAAATTTTCATCTGGATCATTTGTAACGTTTGCATTGAAGCTTTTTCCCACCTTGAAGAAGTCAAAGAATCCCACAAGCGGCGCTTTGCCCACTTGTTTCTCTCGGTCTCTGAAGAAGAACCAGCCTGTGATGCCGGCGTCCAGCAGCTCCGGGGATTTCTTGGAAAGAGAGACGAGCTGGAGACGCTCTTCCCGACTGTCCCGACCACGGAAAAATGCCCGCTCCGTTTTATTAGCCCATGGGGGACCTGGCAGAAGGTCAACCAAACGTTACACATACTAAATGCGCAAAAGGCTTTAAAAAAAAAAAAAAAAAGATGAAGCTGAATAAAAAGTACGTCTACCATTTCTCCTGCTTGTTCATTTGTAACGTTTTACATTCATTTTTGTGTGAACTTTAAAAAAGAAACACATTTTTGCACGTTTTCATTTTCATCTAAAATACTTTAAATCAATTTGACTGTATGATCTGGTTGAAATTTCTGTAAAACGCCTTCAGATGTAATGTATTGTGAATTGGCGCTATATAAATAAACTGAATTAAAGTGCATTTTGTC